ACTCGGAGCTAAGCTACGCCCTCCACAACTAAGATGGAAGGGCAACAACTTGACTTGGAGCTGATGGGTACTGGGAAAAACACACTGTTCCCCAACAAAGTTAAAATAAAATAAAATAAAATAAAATGCCTGCCTTGCAAGCATTCCTGTATTCTGACTGCTAGTTTTTCCATTGCTCATATCAAAGCTCTACACCTCTAGTACCTTCTTCTTAAGTCACCGAATGAGTCTTGCTTGCAATTTTTTTTTGGGAGGCAATATATAGCTGTAATTAAATATGTGTTTAGTTACATATATAACTTTATATAGTTGTAGTTACATACATGTGTGAGTGTGGTGTATATAACTAAATACAAATATACAGATAGGTATATAGATCATGTGAAGTGATGGGGAACTAGGAAGTGTTTAATATATTTAAGCTAATATAGTCATGTCAATGTGTTGAGCACTTTCCAGTGCAATCTCACTTAATACTTAAAATAATCCTGTGAGTTACGAATCTGTATCACCATATTTCAGAAAAGGAAACTGAGACCTAAGAGAATAAGTAACTTGGATGAAGTCCCCAAGACTCTAAGTGGAACAGCTCTCAACTCTATTCTTTATCACAACATGATCCTGTTTCCCTGTATTTTCAGACACTATTAAAATAGTGTGGCTACTCTAGCTCTAAGCTAGTGGAAGCATATTAAAAATTTTATTTGACAGCATGGCTAAATGCATTAGAAGGATAATCAAGAGACTGTAAAAGCAGTGAGTGAGAACATCTACCTTGGAGCCAGATGACAAGATTTGTACCTGGGCCCACCTAGGGCAAGCCTACAATGCCTCATCTTTAAAATGGAAACAATAACAGTATCTACTCAAAGATGGGGATGATTAAATGAGTTCATATATGAAGTGTTTAAAGTAGTGCTTGGGTATAGTGCAAATGTTACAGAAGTGTTAGCTATGACTATCATTTTCTTTCAAAATTTCTTTTTACTGTCTCTATTTTACCTATAACATTTGCGAACTTAAGTTTTCCTCAAATTTTCTCTCGATTTTCAAATTATACCTTGATTTACAAAACAGACCCCCAGACCAAAAAAAAAAAAATCCCTGTTTTTATAATGTACATCTGCTAATGCTTTTGTGTTTGTTTTTAGACTACTATCTTTTCCCTGCAGGAACTTCCTGTCTCCAACCTGGGATTGGAGGGGCTCTCCATCATCTGTATGGCCAATCAGAGCCAGGCTCCTGCGGTGACTGTGTGATTGTTCCTGGGGGTACTCTGGGATTGAAGCACAGCCAATCAGTGCCCTTTTCAGAGACTCTGTGGCTGCTGAGGGATAATTACTCTTCCATTCTGAAATCATGTATAATGAATAGCATGTAAGCCTACAAATGCTGGGGGTCATTCTGAACCACCTGAAAAGGAAGCCATCATAAAGTAATGCTGAGCTGGAAGATGGAGGAATATGACACTTTGCCCCATTTCTCAGTCGACAGGATCCAGATGAATGAGGTTCGCCTTTGGACTTTCCAGTTGTGTGAGTCAAAGTATCTTCTGTCTCAGTTAGTTAGAGATATATTTCTATTATTTGCACACAAGAGTCCTGATTAATTCAGTGATAAATTATTAGTAAGCATATCTCTAGAATGCCAGTACTCAGCTTCTTATATTATCACAACAAAAATAATGAGTTTAAAATATTCCCTGTAGGTTCCTAAATATCAAGCCATAAGAAATAAGCACCCTTTGGTGTGCGATAATACATGGTTTAAAGAATGACGGCAGGTCCGGCCGAGTGGCTCAGTTGGTTAAGAGCTCGCTCAAGAGTGCAAGCTCTGAGCAACAGCGGTTCAAGTCCCGGCCTGAGCTGAGCTGCCGCTGAGCTGCCAACAGGTGGAGCTCAGCTAAAAAGTAGGCAAGTAATTTCAAATCCAAGCCCTACCACTGTGTGACCTTAGGCAAGTCACTTAACCCTTCTTGTTTCTAAAACATATTACTTATTAGAGGATTGGCATGAGAATCAAATGGCACAATGGCAGCTCAAGCACTCCAATATATATTGTAGTATTACATTGTATCAGGTCCATGTCTACACTAACTGAAAAATATGCATGATAAAGGATTTTTTCCATTCTGACACATCTATGTATGGTACAAAGACCTTACATCTTTCTTCTTTCTTTTGCTTTTTTCATGCCAAGAAAAAAAATACAATTAACAATATGTCTGAAGAACACTTGGGAAACATCCGTATGCATGTAATTTCTAAAATTATACAATCAATTCTTGGTTTTCCGCCAGAGCAATTGCTTAGCGTAGTGTTCCGCTGTTCTCTCCTGAAATCCAAATCCTTGGCTCACCCACACCTGTTCTTTATAGATGTTTTTCACATCCTTTCTTTCATCCAGTCTCTATTATCACCTCATTACGTAGGCAGAAATCATTACCCTGTTTTACAGCTGAGGAACTGAAGCTCACGAAAGGTAAGTGATGGCTAATTAGAATAGCAGATAGGAATATATTTCAAACTGCTTGGCGTTCTTTTCCTCTACTTCTCAATCCACCTTAATCAATTTGTGCCCCTAACTCCAATGGGTAATTTACAATGAGCATTTATCAATTTAATAATTCACACTGAAATAATAATATAACACTTAAGGATTAAACCATTATTGTGTTTGATTGGAAAATATTACCTTCGTGAGAGATTTCCTTCCAGGGATTTGGTGGGTACATGAAAGCTGCATTCTGGATTTGGTCGTGTATGTCTTCATCTTCGTTGAATGGGAATGTGCCACTTAGGCTTACATAGATGATGACCCCAACAGACCACATGTCTAGAGAGCGATTATAGCCCTTGTTCCTTAGAACCTCAGGAGCCAGGTAAGCTGGGGTGCCCACCACTGACCTCCGGAAAGACTTCTCTCCAATGATCCGGGCAAAACCAAAGTCACAAAGTTTCACCTGTTGGTAATAATGGTTTTCAGAAATGATAAGGTACCAAACTGTGTGTCTGTGGTGTCTTAGCCCAGTTCTGCCAAAGACAACCATAATACTATAAACCTATTGCATGGATTTCTCATGGTAGAGGTAATAGCTGTTTTCCATTTTATGTACTTGAAGACAGTGATTTATGTACTGATACAAAAAAGTTTGTTTTCATTCACAAAAACAGCATCTAAACATGTTCACTCTTCTCCCCCCGCCAAAAAAAACTCCAAGTGATAAATATGAAAATATGTACACTCAAAAGTGGGTAATATTGTTTTACAAGGCAGGAAAACATCATGCAGATCAGGGAAGTGACAGACTTAACTCAAAGGCTTACTATAAATAAAGGTTGAAGGACAAGCACAGACATGGCATGTCATCCACAATAATCCTTAAAATTAGCTCTGTATGGGCACTTAGCTGGGACCTAAAGGTGTCAGGGAGCTAAGGCAGGACAGCCACCTCGGTGAGGTCACTTCAGAGTCAGGGTTCCCTGGGGGAGAACTCCAGCTGTTTCCCATTGTCTGAATTGAGGAAAAAAAAAAAACCTCTGTACTTGTCTGAGAACAACACTGAACTTGCACGTCCTGCTCAGCAATCAAGTTTCCCGGGGCCTCTTAAGTGTTCTCACTCTCAGACCAGTGCTTTCCACATTGGCCTAAGCCTGCCCATTCTCCAGGATCTGCACACAACAGATGCTAACCAGCAGGATGAGAGAGAAGGCTCAGGGTGTGTGATTAAGGCAGGCTGAACTGAGAAGCCAGAGTAAAAAAAGCCAGTCCCCAAAATACCAGAAGGTAACAAATGGGTGAAAATGAACACACAAAACTTGAAATAAATATAGGGTTTGAGGGAAAAGGTGGCCGAACGCTGCAGGGGAGCCAATGAGGCTGTCAGCTGGCTTTTCGCTGAGAGGCTTTTATACTTGCCTGAGGGAAAGGATCAGCTGATGCGAGCAACACGTTTTCTGGTTTGAGGTCACAGTGAACGATATTTTTAAAGTGAAGATGCCGCAGAGCCACAAGTATCTATAAAGAAGAAAACCATCAGAGTAATTTTAGTTGGGTCTACTAATTTATTTCAAAATGTTTTCTACTAGGACATAAATCTAAAAGGCCAAGAGAAAACTCACAATGAACAGTTAAGCTCAGGACAGGGAAATAAACTAGATTAACATAGCCGGTTTCCAAGGGAACTTTCATGGAAAAAGTAGCATATTATGGTATTCATATAGCACCCAAGACAGAGAAAAGATAAAAAGAATTCGATATCTAAAAGGGATACCCATTATATTTTCAAAGAACCAGGACTCAGCCACTGTGCATTTGAAGATTTCATGAGTAGTTTTAATACATGGGCCTGCATGCACATTGCTCATTTCGTATACTGGACTCTAGATATTAATACTACAGATATAAATCAGATAATACAATAAGCTACTGCAACTTTTTGAGTACAGTTTAGACTTTGGAGGTAGGGACTAAGCAACAAGGCTAGAAAGCTGCCGTTAAACAGTGACAACATTTGATATTAAATATTATCTTTCTTTTCTGTCTCTAATTGATTTCTTACCTGAGTAATTAAAAACTTCGTTATGTGTTCTGGCAACCTGCCCTTTTCACTTGACAAGATCATCTCCAGCATGTCTCCATGGAGCTTTTCCATAACAACAAACACTCTTTCAGGCGTCTCAAACATACACTCCAAATTTACAACACCAGGGTGATGAAGGTTCTATTAAAGATAAATAAAGCACTTGAAGAAAATGAGTTTTTTGATAGTGTTTGGCAAGCTCCCTGATTATACCAAACTGTTCAAGCTTAAAGCTATGGATAAACCCACACTGACGAGTTTTAACACCTCTACATTCCACATGTGCTGCCTTATATTTTTGAAAGTCTAATGGGTCCAAAAAATACATTTTTACTTTCTACGCATAGTGAAATTATTTTTTGTATGCTCAAAATCCAAGTTCCAGCACTGTGAATTGCTAATTAGGTTTTAATTAGAATACCATATTGAGAAATTTGTAATTTCTTAGGATCATTTCCAATATTAAGCATACTGTCCTAAATAAGCATACAAGGCCACCTCTACACACTTGGTAGAAATTTAATGTAGAAAAGATCAAATTTGTACATGTAGCATACCCTATTACATAATGAAGCAAATTAGTCAAAATCTTTTGGAACTGCTCTGCTCCTGGAAGTGGGAGTAGTTTGCTATGAAAGCTCGTAGGTGGAGTAACGATCCCCATGAGGGCAGGGAAAAAAAGAAAGAGAGAAAGAAAACAACACAAAAAAATCTTGGGCCGGCCAAGTGGCTCTTTGGTTAAGAGTTGGCTTGAGAGTGCGAGCGCTAAACAGCAGAGCAACCAGTTCAGATCCCACATGGGCCAGTGACGCTGCGCCCTCTACAGCTAAGATGGTGAACAACAGCTCGATCTGGAGCTGGGCTGCCGTGAGTTGCCAGCAATGGCGTAGGCTGTAATGGGGCTGCAGTGGGCTGCCATGAGCTACCGTGTGTGGCTGGCAGCCAGTGTGAGCGGCCGACAGCAGGCGTGAGCTGCCGTGAGCCTCTGTGAGCCACCATGAGCAGCCGTCCAGTGGCCAGCGACCGACTGCCTCGCCCGGGAAGAGCGTAATGATCACAATACCAACATGGGCCAGTGAAGCAACGTCCTCAACAACTAGATTGAGGAACAAAAGGACAGCAACCTGTCTGTTCCCCTTCCCTGATTCCCCAACACTGTTCCTTCCCCCAGTTCCCCAACAAAATCTTTAAAAAAAAGAGAGAAAAAAATTCTTAAGTCTCTGCTTTATCCAGGACATCATGCTATGTCAAAGTCCTACACAGTTTTTAAGCACTCAATAAATGTTTCTACAATAAAGTAATGGCTAATAATGATAGGCTGCATTTGGCTTGACATGTTAATTGTCACGTATGTCAAAGCAAAATTACTTTTAACATTAGATGGGCCTTTGTAATGATGCTTAGGTTTGAATGTTGGTCTGGGGTTATCAACAAAGCCCTTGATCATTTGACCTTTACTAGTTTTTTCTGCATACAATAACAAAAATTTCTAACAGTAAAAAAAAAAATTATTCCACTTATATTTTAATGAGACAGAAAAAAAAATGAACAAAACTACCTAAAGAAAAAAACAGGCACAAATTTAAATGCTTAAATGTGCTAACAGCTGAACAGAGAGAAAATAAATAAATGCCTTATTTTAGAAAAAGAAACCTGAAATGGCTCACTATTCAGACCTCACAGACGGATGCTGGGTGGTGAGCAGCAGAAGGCGTTGTTGGTGAATCTGCATATTGTCATCCTCCACGTTGCCCATTGGCATGAAAGCCTCTGGCATCGACTATATATGAAGCCACACTATGGTTGTCAGAAGCTCCCATGATGATAGCCTGTCTCCAAGGGTGTCCTTTCACTACCTGGCACTGATTAGTCTTTTTGGTTCTGATGCCTTGGTGATCCATCAAGCACATGGAGAGAAGGTGATGTTAACAAAACTCACTCTCTCACTGCTCTTAACTGCCTACAAATAAGGCCAGGTGGCCAGTGGGCTTTGGCCATTATGGGAGTGCCAGGTCCTTAGGTGGGGGACTAATGAATGACTACAAGTTCTGTTTGATATGCAGTATAGAATACTAGTGATAGCATTGCTCATACCTGAACCTGTGCCCAGGGTGTCTCCTTTCATTGTTCTTATACCCCACCTTCCCTGATAGAGGAGCCACACAAACGGGACAGACCATCAGCCTCTGGGTGTCCAGGCATGTCAGCTGTCCTCTTTTAAATCAGTGATCACAGAGAGTGATGTGAGAAACATGTTGACGTGAGGCGTGCTCCTTTATATCTCAGACCCTTGACGTTACAACAAATTGAACAGCTATAATTCAACAAATGATTCCCTATGCAACATACACACATGTCTGAGAGATCTGCACATTGAAACATCTGAAGGTGGGAGAATTGGGGAGAACGGGGGAGGGAAAGAAGAAAAGCAGAGATGGGGGCTGCGGGACACAGCCTGGAGCTAACTGTGGTCCTGGGAGAGGGGAGGTTTGAGACTGCAGGTGCACTCTCTGTGGCCCCAGCCATTTGGTGGATCATTATATAATGAATACTGCTGAACCCAGTGATTGGAGCAGAGACCTCAGGGCAACGACCAAATACAGAAGTGCAACAACAGCGGTCTAACAACCCTCACTGCCAGGCAGAAAGCAAAGCCATGGAGCCTGGCCACCTGCCCCCAACCTCCCACAGCTTGCCTCCCGTGCACCTTCCCAGGGTTAGCAGCGGGCCCCAGAAAAATGGTAGCAGTGTCAGATTAAAGAACAGAATATCGACAGCTCTGAGAACTGGAGAGGCAGTTCCTGAGTGGCAGACACACAGTGTGGCTAATTCCAGAGACAAGGGAGAAGCTATAGGAGTGAGGCAGTTATACTACAACAGTCGCCATTACTCAAGGAAAATAAAGCCACAAATACACCAGCGCCTCTTCCACCCCATCCCGCCCACACTTTTCCTGGCCGTCTGTAGCTGGGGCACCCACGGCTGCTGTGACATACAGGCTCTGCCTCGGGCTGCAGGCACAGTACTGGGATTTCAGAGGCTCAGAACCCCATCACCCACCATACTCTCTCACCAGGGTGCTGCCCTGAGACCAAGATGACCTGGTGACAGAGGAGACATCCACCTCCCCAGGAAATCTCCCACCATACAAGAAGCCAGAAGAATGCAAGAGAAAATAAAACACTCTAGCACTACTTATTGGAAAGCCAAAGAAAGACCTCTTCATATCAACCTGCTGCAGAATTCAGTCCCACAGATGCCTAGGAAGGGAAATAATCCATTAATTGCCATGAATAACCAAGGTAACAAGGCAGCTCAGAAAGAAAATGAAAAATCTCCAAAAGATAAACTTTAAGACATGAAAATATGTGATTTAAATGACAGAAAATTCAATATTGCAGTTCTGAAAAAACTCAACAAGATGCAAGAAAGCTCAGGTAGGCAGTTTAATGAATTCAGAAAGAAAATCAATGAACAAAATGAATATTTTACAGAGACTAAAATTTTCCAAAAGAACCAAACAAATTCTGAAGCTAAAAACTCAATAAAAAAGATTAAGGATGAAATAGCCAGCTTAGGGAATAGAGCTGACCAGATGGAGAAAAGAATTAGTGATATTGAAGATAGAAATCTAGAAATGATGCAGATGGAAGAAAAGAGAGACTTGAGAGTTAAAAGAAATGAAAAAACTCTACAAGAACTTTGACTCCATCAGAAAGAGCAACATAAGAATAATGGGCATACCAGAAGGAGAAGAGAGGGAGAAGGACACAGTCTACTCAAACAAATAGTCAACAAGAACTTCCCAAACCTATGGAAAGAACTGGATCCTTGAATCCAAGAAGCAAACAGAACACCTAATTACCTCAATCAAAACAGGCATTCTCCAAGGCATGTTATAATGAAGCTGTCAAAAATTAATGACAAAGAAAGAATTCTCAAGGCAGTCAGGGAAAAGAAGATGATAACCTACAAAGGAAAGCCCATTAGATTATCATCAGGCTTTTCAGCAGAAACTATACATGTCAGGAGGGAGTGGAATCAAATATTCAACTATTGAAAGAGAGGAATTATGAGCAAAGGAGAATATATCCAGCAAAAATATCCTTTAGATATGAAGGAGGAATAAAAACCTTTCCAGATATACAGAAGCTGAGGGAATTTTGCAACACAAGGTCTACATTACAGGTAATACTGAAAGAAGCTATTTG